TTATGTAAAATTTGTTATCAGCGTTTTTTTTCGTCATACAATTAGAATGAGAGCTTTATCCCTTATGAATTTATGTCATTTACTAGTTATAAATGGTGGACTTAGGCATACCGTCCGTGCAACTGTAGAGGAACAAGTATTTAAGACACTTTACTTATTAACGCACAATGAGAGAAATCAAGTCATATCTTGTATTTTTCGACGATCCAGAGAGAAAACAAGTCGTCATTTTTACAATGTGTAATGATGTATAATACATATAGCCGATAAATTTATTAATCACCCAAATGGATCACAAGTGCCTCCGGAAATAACCAACAATCCCATATTCTTTTCATTTTTTAAGGTATATCTATAAGTTATATACGTTTAATTAATTATTTTAACACGAGTACATGTTTAATTAATTAGTTAATAATTAATTTTAGAATTGTATTGGTGCGATTGATGGAACACATATGTGTTAAAGTGTCTAGAAAAGATGCTCCACGGTTTCGCGGGAGAAAAGATTTTCCCACCCAAAACTTATTAGCAGCTTGTACATTTGATTTAAAATTTTCATACGTTTTAGCTGGGTGGGAGGGGACCGCTTCAGATTTAAGAATAATAAAAGATACGTTAAACCGAGTTGATGATCATCTCGTAATTTTTTAAGGTAATTAAAATATATTTAACTTCGATATATAATGTATATTTTTGAAGAAAAATATTATAACTTAATTTCTTTATTGCTTATAGGTAAGTTTTACCTTGTCGATGCTGGGTTCATGTTGCGGGGTGGACTAATTACACCATATAGAGGAGAACGCTATCATTTAAGAGAATACTCTATGAATCCACCACGCAATACTCGTGAGCTATTTAATCTACGACATGCTTCATTGCGTAATGCGATTGAACGTGCCTTTGGAGTTCTAAAAAAACTTTTTTCAATTATCCAAACCTCGACGGAACCTCATTATCAGATTAAGACTGTTAATATTATTATATTTGTTTGTTGCATTTTACATTATTATTTACAGGGAGAGGATCAAACTGATGAAATTCTTCAAGAGGTTGATAAAGAACTCTGAAATATCTAGACGAACAAAGTATTTGTAACTCTAGGGACAGTACTGAAGAAATGAGAAAATGCGAAGCAATTAGGGATGCAATAACAGCTTATATGTGTATTGATTACATTTTGTATAATTTATGATATTTGTATAGTTTATGAGATTTGTATGGCGTATGACATTTGTATGACATATGATGTCTGTGTAACTTAAATATTTTAATTGAATGCTACAATTTAGAATTTATTTTGTTGTAATCATATTATATTTTTTTATATATGATTATATTTGATGTTTTCATATGTGTTTTAGACGATGGCTAAGAGGAACAGGAATGCAGACACGAGAAGTAAAATGATCCACTAGTCAGATCATATGGATGACGTCCTAGTAAATTCGTTTTACGATCAACATTTGTGTGGTCGTAGATAAGGTGAGATATTCACATCACACGCTATTGATTGTGTACGTGAAGAAGTGAGGAATGCATTTTCAGATATGGACATTGATAAAGAGTGTATACATAATTGCATAAAAATTTTGAAAAGGCAATTCTTAAAATATTATGATGTTTTCAAACATGGAGTGAGTGATTTTGTCTGGGATCCAACAACTGAATGATACGAAACAGAAGATGAAGTTTGAGAGCAACTAATAAAGGTAAATCTCTTACTTTATCATATGTTGTTTGCTATTTTTTATATTATTCAAGTATTAATATAGTTATTCATGTTAGGCTCAACCTCAAGCAGTGGAATTAAAAAACAAATGCATGCAAAATTACGAGAAAATGTTAGAAGTGTGTGGAAGGGATAGAGCTAGTGGGTCTACAAGTGAGACATCCCTAAATCCTCGAAGACAAAGGAAGAGGAATGGTGATGAACATGGTCTGGATGCTACAAGTGAGACACCAATTACCCAAGATTTAAGTGGTAATTTTAATTTTCATGGTCTGGATAGTTCATGTGAGGCTCCAATACCCGAAACTCCTATTTCAATATCTGAACATAAGGTGCAAGAATCTTTAATGCGAAATAAAGCGAGACGTTTGACAACGATTAATGACAAAAAAATATATGACTGAAGTTTGAACTATTTCAAATTCAGTGAAGGAAAAATTAACAATTTCAAAAGCGTTTGTTTTAGCAGAAGAATTATATCAAGAGGTTTCTCGTATGGGATCAAATCCCCTTTTAGAAACAAAAGCTTTTATGCTGCTTATGGATAAACTAAACATGATTAAAGTTTCAATGATTTGTTCTCCTAAGCATAATTTTTTCATGACTAATTTGCTTAATTTACTAGGTAATGACTAATATCACATATGAAGTTTGAATATTTTTTATTTGTTAAAATAATTTTAAATTTAATATAATAGTATTTAATTATAATAATTTATTATTAATATATAAACAATTTTATTTTTATTAAAATTAAATTAATATAATATAAATAATAATTATTTATTTTATTAAATATAAAATTTTAATTTAATTATGTATAATAATTATTTATTTAAATATAAATATAATTATATTAATAAATAATTTATTTTTTTCGTTATATACTTTTTTTATATAATTTATTATTAATATAATAAATATTAGTAAATTGACTTAAAATACAACTATACAATGATTATTTAAATAAAAATATATCATTAATATACATTAATATATTACCATCTAAACATAAAAAATTTTTATTATTCTAATTCTTATTATTACTATTTAATTACTATAATTATTATATATTAATTAATCATCATTAAAATTTATTTAAGCTGTATTATCTGTAATATATGACAAGGAATTATGTTTGAAAGAGAATTGGATAATGAAGATTTCAAATTTAGTAATTACAGTTAAAAAATTTGAGCAATTTGAATTAGATTAGGGTTTGAATTTTTTATTTTGGTAGACCTGTATCCGGTTGAAATTAGATATCACATGTTCTCGTTCAACGAAACGATCGCGTATTCCAAATCCAAACAACTCTCTGCCAACTAGGCAAGCTCCCAATGTATTTTTTTATATTCTAACTATCTTCCCTCTCTTGTTGGTTTTCGCGATCCCTAAAACAAGGATCAGATCCACTTTCATGGCTGCAGCAAGTTATTCTCCGCTCAAAACGACGCTCTGAGGTCTTCTCTGCTCCCACTCCTGTCCGCTCTCTCCACCAATAAACCCGTACGTTTCATAAATTTATCTTCTACTCTTATTTCTTTTTTTTTTCTCTCCTTTTGGAAACGTTTCTGTTTTGTTGATTGGCTTTGATGGACCACATTTGATTTCCCTTTTGTAAATTTTGAAATTGAGCTCGAATGGTGGAACATAATAAGTAGACGTTTTCTTTTTTTTTTTTTTTTTGGTTTGAACTTTTATGTGAGAATGAATTGGTAACTTTGGAAAGAAGCGAAGTTTAATTTAGGAAATAAAAAAGATATATCAGGTTTTAACGTCAGAAAGTCGATTGTCGGTCTTTCCTATAGCTGGATTGTGTAAAGTAGATGTGGGTAAATCCATTATAATTTCTTCAATGTTTGGGCATTTTGACGTGGGATTTAATAGCTAAACAATTTGAGCTAATTTAATTTATTGGAGCTGCTGTTGGCTATTCTTCTCCCTCCTAACTATGATTAGATTATTCTTTTGCTCTTAATTAATGAATGGAAGTCTTAAATGTTCTAAAAGTTACTGATTTACAGGTTTCTGTTAACCTTGTTTGGTCTCTAAGAAGGTTTCTCGTTGTCTTTTATGTCTGTCTTTACTTTTTCTATATGATGAGCATGGGTTTGTATTATATGAGATTATTGTTCTTGTATTGTGTTCCATCTGGGTGTTGGTTTTAGTGTTTGTTTGTCAAGTGGGTGGAGCCTGGATATACAGCTTCTCTAAAAATTTAGAGCATCAATGTTTGAATGTTGGAACGAAATTGGCTCTTGCACAACTTTTTAAGAGCTTAATAGATGTTGGCTTGTGGATAAATCTAATTGTCATGGATCCAGAAATATCCGGGCCTCATCTTCCTATTCAGAATCTTCAATTTAACTTGTGTTCCAGAAAATAAATCCGACAATGTATTATGTTGCTTTGGTCTATGAAAGCCAGTGAAGTAAATGGTCGATGTAATGTACTCTTTTCATTTAGCTTGAGCCTCCTGCAAACTTAATTCTTGTGCTGTAATTTTAGTTTTTAATTTGTTGAAAATTAATAACTTGTTAAAAATTTAACATAAGAATCACATAGACTACAAACGAAATTCCTAAATTAAAAAGTTTGGTAATGTCATATAGTTAAGCAGATTAAGTGAAAGATATCATGTTTAAGTTTGTAACTCAAACAACTTAATGAGCAACCCCACATTTTTCTTGTCTAAAAGTTTTCTACCAGGGAGACAACATTATAATTTCTTAAGCCTTATTTTTATTTAGTTTATGAAGACAAAAGTTCCTTTCTTTTTTGCATATAATATATATTTGGGGTAGATATATTTATATGCATGTACATGTATTCAACATTAATAGAAAATGAAAAGTTTTTTAGTAGGAGCCTAGGACTTGTTCTTCTTGCAGCTTAGTTCAGTAACTCACAAATATTAAAAGCAATATAAACTAAGATTGAGGTATGTTGAGTGGAATTGGGACGTGTGTAATTCAATAATGTTAGCATGACTGATCAAAATGATGTAGATTGATCCATAAATATCCAATTAAATAGGAAAATACTTGGTATATTTCTGCATAGTAATGGTAAACTCTGGAAATGTAAGAACTGAATGGCATATCAAGTTATGATTTTTTCTTGAACATGACATATCAAACTATAAAAAGGCCAGATACTACATCATTATGTAAAATGAGTGCAAACTTGGGTGGTATGGATTTATGTTTTCAGTATTGATGAAGAGAAATCTTAGAAGCATTTTGGAAGTATTGCATGAAATATTTTTTTAAAAAGAGTATTCCTGGTGAGGTCCACCTTTACTGGTGAATTCCATTACTGTTGCAATGACAAAAGAATATTATAAGTTTATGAAATCAAATAATTGCCATAGAAGTATTTCAAAGGCCAATTTCCTATTCTCATTATCAAACTTATGATGTCTTGTAGGATAAGTGTAGGAGATTTATTTATAGATTTTACCCAAAACTTTTGTGGCACTTTTTCTTATACTTTTTTAAGATTTTACTTCAATAATTAAAGTTAGGGGTTAAGATTAACTTAATATGTACTTTACTTTCTTTTTATCTCACAAGAAAAGAGATTAACTTAACATGTACTTTACTTTCTTTTTATCTCGAAAAAAAGAGATTAACTTAACATGTACTTTACTTTCTTAATATCTCAAAAAAAAGATTAACTTAATATGTAATTACAAATAAGCTCTTATGACTTTTCTTTTTTCTTTTCTATAATTTTATAATTTCTTTTGAGGAAAAAAAATGACATTCATTTGTTTGTTATACTATTTCTTTTTATTGTAATTGTCATTATTGGATATTTTCAGCATAATATTAAGTTTTAGATGACAGGTATACGGATTCCTCCTGTTTTTTTCCATGTTTACTTGCATGTGCATGTAGGTTACTACAAGAAATATAAATTGAAATTTTTAAGCAGGAAATCCAATCTTTTTATTTTATCTGCTTCTTTTTTTGTTTTTCTTTCTCTTGGTTTGGTTGGTAACATGTTTATTTTAGGATTACTTGTTGTAATTGAAAATCTTTGGTTTGTTTGTATATTGAAGTGTTGAAAATTATGTGAAGATTCAGGGACTGCTAATTAACAAGGAATCTGGACTGTTAATTTTTTAGAATTTTTTTTTTCGTTTTTCTAATTGGAGAGTCCTGGGTCAGCGCAGAAGTAGTTAATATGCTCTGAATTTGGCGACTGATTTTGATCTGGGTTTTTCTTTTGGATTATGGTCTTGTTTCTGCCTTGATTTAGGTTACTCTCTTAAGTTTCTAATAATCTTTTCTAGTTCTTTTCATTAGTTTGATGGTGAAGAAGACATACTAAATTGAGACTCATGAAGTGATTTTGAGTTTGAAATTTTGCAAAAAGGTCATTCTGTTTATTATTTTAACTATTTTTTGGCTCAAGAGCTGCAGCCCTTGTGGAAACTGGAGAAATTTGATTTAGATTGTTGTTGATTACAGATCAATCAAGATAGCATAATAAGATTATGGGTCAGGAAGAACGAGTTGCAGAAGAAGAGATGGAGGGGATTGATAGAGAACCTGAAGGGAACACTCTTCTCAAGGAAACTTTTAATTATCGAACCCAATTTCCAGGGATGGTGAGACAGAAAGCATATATATTTGATGGGTCTGGGAACTATTATAACAAAGAATGGAATCTTGCAGAAGGTAGGGGTAATGAGTTTTGTTGGTATCACGTCGAACTACCTAAAGGAAACCACAAACTTTCTCAATCTGCACAATGTCTTATTGATGTCCTTT